GACTGAACAGAAACAGCAAACATTTAAAACCAGGGACTAACGAGCAGGTGGGAGAAACACAGTTGTGAGGGATCAGGACTAACGAGAAAGGCAGGCAGAGAGACAGCAGTGGGAAAACAGAGAGACAGGTAGGCAGAGGGATAACTTGAGGATTACCATTAACACTTGACAGGCAGACAGAAACCATGCATGAAACAAACACCAGATAATAACAGAAAAGACACAAACTTAGGCAGGCACAGATCCAAACAGGAACAGAACAGAAACAAGCAAACTGAACACTGAACACAAGGCACTGGCAACTGACACAAGAGAAGAAACATACTGGAACACAGTCAGAACAGACTAAAAACTAAATCATACAGTTAGACTACTAATGTAACAGGAAAAACAGACTGAACTAAGAACCGAACACGGAGCAGATATGGGCAAAATAACGAACACCGAAGTATACAGACCAGGAGTAAATAGTAAGCCATGAGCTAACACACAGAACTAAAACGCGGGGGTAAATAACAGATACTAAACTGACCAATAAATAAACTCACAGAGAACTAAACTCAACAGAACAGAAGACAGGACTAAAATGCAGATACAAAACCCCCCAAACAAGAATCAAAATACAGCACACAGAGAAACTCAGGACAGGATCATGACAGTTGTGCATGCAGTTGGCGCAGCACGGCGTGCACGCTAAACTCTGCACAAGACAGGGAAATGGCAGGCGAGAGAGAGAGAGAGAGAAAAGGGTCAAAAGTAAGCATCAGTTTAGCTGGAACTTTACAGCATAAGTTGTATAAAAAGAGACTAAAGAATAAAGCGGAGCCACCATGTGTTCCCCCCCTCGCAATTGTCGTGCACAAAAACACATGATTTGACTATCAGTCAACTATAGGCAGGACTTGACGATTCTGATTCGACTATGTACCGTAAATCCTTAGTCAGGGACAGCCCCACATTTTACACACACAGGCCCAAAATACAAACAGACAAACACAGGACCATGACATGCAACTGGGGGAGAAATGTTGCGACATAGCAGCGCCCCTTGAGCAGGTGAGAGTTTACTGCTTTCCTCAAGGTCACGTGAGCAGTGCCCAGGAGGTGAAATGAAATTTCTCCAGTCTACTTTGAACTGGCCACCATCCAGTTCCAAAGCCAAGTATTTAAAGGTTCAGTGTGTAATATTTCTGAGGATCTATTGACAGAAATGCAATATAATATCCATAACTATGTTTTCAGTGGTGTATAAAGACCTTACATAATAAATCATTTATATCTACATAACCGCGGGCACCCTCTCCTATGGAGGTCGCTGTAGTTTGTCGTCATGTTTCTAGCCGACAACGAACAAACAGCGCCACAGAGTGCGTTTCGTCATCACTGTGTTCTTCTTCTGTTTGTATAATTCCGGCAGTGTAGATGCCCGTCACTACATTGAATATGTACAAAGAAGAAGAAGAACAAATAATAGTAATTATAATATACAGTCTCTGAGTAGTCCTCTGGTTTATTAGAAGTAAGAAGAGAAGTGACATTTGGACAAATGAACGAGTACACACGCTGACAGCAGGAATCCCGGATGTGGATTTTCCCAGATGGAAGGCTAGAATGTGGGACAGATGTTTTCAAAGCGGAGCTGAAGCTGTCTGTTTTCTGCTGGACAGGTAAATAAGTTTGTCCGACTTTAGTGATTCAAATGAAAGCTGTTGTTTGATAGCTTTAGCTATTAGCTGGCCATAATCACCGAGAGACTTGACATGTTTCCCCTGTCAGTGTTGTGAAATATGGATTAATTTCATGTTGCCTACTTATTCTCCAGCCTGTGGTTTGGCTTTGCCGGCGTAACACCAAAATCTGTTTGATCAGATTCTTAGTTTGACCAAAACCCAAAAGACGATGTTTTCCTGCGCTGGTATAAAAAATATGTAATTGGATTGTAATTTCATGTAGTTGTTCTCCAGCCTCTGTTATGGCTTTGTTACGTGGACAGAAATATGCCATTACCTTCCTGAGACAAACAGCTGATGAATATTATCTCATCGTAGCTATACTGCTAGAGTGAAAACAGTTTGGGGCCTATTTTAACTATCTAAGCGCACAGTGTGAGACGCATGGTGCAGTTGCATTTTGGGCGTGTCCAACTCTAATTTTGCTTAACAAAAATGGTCTTTGTGCCAGGCACATGGTTTAAAAGGGTTGTACATAGTCTGTCAATTCATCATGGGTGTGTTTTGGGTGTAACATGCAATAAACCAATGAGAGTGTCATCTCCCATTTCCTTTAAAATCCAGGTGCGCTTGTACCTTGGCACAATGTAATTACAATGGCGGATGAATGGCACACTCACAGCAGTGGGGGGATATGGACAGAAGTGTGGACATGATTTAAAAACCGTCTCTGTTCATGTAGCCTAATGTTACTCTGCAACTCTGGTTTATCAGTGAAGTGTCTGAACTGCACTGCAGACTGAAGTCTGTTTTTCACAGTTGCTGAAACACTAAACCCCATTCTCTGAACCCAATGCTCAATGGCCTAAACCCATTTGTCGAATCAGTCACTCTTTAGCCAAAACCTTAAACAGGTTCACGTAGTTAAGACACTGTTTGCAAAGCTCATCCACTCTTTTTGCAAAACTCTAAACACATTCTCACTCACTAAAACACATTTTTGCACTGTGATGCATTTGTGTTGCAAAATGGTAAATACATGCAGCAAAAGTTAAACACAACTACACCACAGCTGTTATCTTTTACACACAACAACTCATAATTCTGCGCACTTGTTTCTAATAATGTAATCAAACCAAAATGTGGTCGAGTCCCTGGCCAGCGTAGTGGCAATATCACACTTTGACCAAGTAAGGGACAGGTTCTCTACTTTCAGACGGCAGTGCATACTTTCTGTGGGACAATGTCAGCTTTCACTGTGGTGTCCAGTGGTTCAACGTAAATCAGCAACCAGTGATTCATAAATGATTACCTTCAACCTACAGCTCTTTAATCCAACAGAAGATTTTATCTGCCTGATGGTGGAAGGTCTATGACCGAAACTCATTTACTATGGAAAATCTTTTACGTGCAATGGAACTGGCCTGTGGTGAGATAGGTGTGGAGTGTTGTTACAGTCAGGCTCCATCCAGCACTGTCGAGGGTTTTCCTCCTTTGCTTGGCAATGTTGCATGTGATGTGAATGAAGTCTCTTATTGTATTGACTTTGATTTTGCAGTTGCACAACATTTTTGATTATAATGTGCTTTTCATTTATATTTTTATCTTTTGACATACTCGATTTGAAAATACAGATATTCAATACTGTATTTACATGTACTTGCAGTAATCAAATCGTTAATTTTCTTTAATGATTTGTTTTCATGATTAGAGAGGCTGCTGTCAGTCATTTTACAGTTTTTCTCAATTGCTTAAATACTAAAACCAGGCTATTAAACTAAAATTTCAAAACCATAACTCCATTTTTCAAAAAGAACAACCATTTCTCTAAACTCTACACACAAATCCCTTTATTTCCCATTCCCTACACCATGCGGTCATTGAGAAAACACTAACATTCACAATATTGTTCACTCAAGTCAGCATAGGGTGAGCTCAATCAGCACACAACTACCCAGGTGGAAACACAGTCAAAATTGATAACACACCAATCAGAACCTTCAGTAGATAGGTAAAAGGACCGGAGTCAGCAAAGGTCAGAGGTGGAGAACAAGAATCTCTGGCCTGTCCCACCAACGACAGGATGCTGGGACAGAATAATTTGTTGTTTGGTGTGTTGAACTGTATAACACTCTAAGGAATAAAAAATGTGCAAATGTTTACATTGGTTGTTTCTTTTGCCGTGATCATTTTTTACTTTCCGTTTTTGAGGGGGACAATCACAAGCAACATTACTAATAACCAGTTTTTTGTATTGTTTTGAATTTATCTCGCCAGTGTGTAAGACTGTGTTGTAGTGTGTGTGTTTTTGAAGGCTTGTCTGTTATGTCTGAAGACAAAGTTTGGTTTTTCAGCAAGATTGAATGGTTTTGAGTGGAAAGATTAATTTTGACCTGAAAATAGGATGTTTGGGGAATTGGGTGAGAAGTTGTGGTTTTATGTTTAGAGTTTTGAGAAAAAGAGGCATAATTTCAAGAAATATGTTTAAGCAATCGAGAAAAATGTTTCCATGTGCGCAGTAAAGTCACAGCAAATATCATGGGGCATTTAAGCAGCAAAACAAAAAAAGCTGAAGCTATAAATTTCGCATGACAGGACACAAACTGTCAAGAGGAAACAGAATTCAAGAAGCTAAATTCTTTTAGCTTCTGAAATAATTTAAATGCTCTGATGGAGCACAGGATTGATCAGGAGGACAGCTGCTTTACTCCAAACAGCTTCATTGTATGAACCTGGAACTTTTGGATGTGGAGAAGAACATAGAACGTGAATTAACATTAGATCTTGACCGATCCTGTTGGCATGTTCGAGATTTTAATAATGAATGAAATTACTCTGCTGTGCCTTTTTCGTAAATGCGCACAGCATCTCTCTTAAGAGCATCAGAATAATGCGCCCCTAAAATCTCTCAATCAATTGCATAAAACACTTTTTTCAAAACACTACAAACATTTCTCTGCCTAAAATCTAAAAGAAAGACGTCTACTATATGCTAAAGCAGTGATTGGTTAGTGATCAGTTTGGCAGTGTTTGCACATGTGAGGAGTGGTATGTGACCTGGTGAATAAGTGTAGCATTTTCATTGGTTGTGTTTGGAAAAGGAAAGCAGGTCACTTCCTGTTAGATTTTTGTGTCTTAGGTAATAACAATGTTTTGTAATGTTTTGAATAAAATGTTTTATGCAATTGAAAACTTAGTGAAAGAGCTGAGAAATAGCTTATGGTTTTGGAGATCTGAGATGAGGTTTTGTTCCTTGAGTGAGAGGTTTCAAGAATTGTGTGACATGTAAAGATTTATATATATATATATATAATCAAATTTAACACTTACCACCCAGAAGAGTGTTGTGTAAGCCAAGGCCTGGTATTGGTCAATGGTAGACAGAACACTGAGGATCAGACAGGCCAGAACTATGAGAAACCTGTAGAAAATAAAGCACATCATACATTGATCTTGATTAAAGTGTAATTTTTTCATGTTGGTGAATATTCTTGTTTCCTTTGTATATATTCTCATATGTTCTAATTGGATAATGGTCCAACTGGCTCTCGTTTACCTAAAAACTTTTCCTCAAATCAAAGCTTTGCAAACTTGTCATCAGTGAAATCATGTAAACACAAGTCTCCTCAATCCACTTTTTATCTTTTAGCTTCTGAACAACTTTCAAAAATAAGTTTACAGACAGCATAACATTACTTTATATTTTTGTCATGAAGAGTAAATATTCAAGGACAGCCCTCTGGAGGAAATACTGTGAACTTTTTTAATCGCCGTTAAATTAATCCGAAGTGCGTGATAAACTTGTCAAATAATGAGCACACGGTTGTGCACACACGCACAAGCACACCACACACAGAATCAACAAACACTAAATTGTTCCTTAACATTCCCCTTATTCCCCCTCAAGGTCACAAGTGTTTCAATTGGAGCAACAATAAGATGTCTGTAACTCCTTAAGATAAATATATTTTATTTCTTTGAGATAAGGCATCAAGCTACTGTGACACTGTAACAAAAACACTCTTATGTGGCCTTTTTTTAATTCAAATTACAAATTTTTGAACCAACAGGATTTTATATATTATATATTTACAACAAAGGTCTACATATAGTACCCTTTTTAACACCTTTTTTATTTTTGTTATTGCAGTATTGCCTCCAAGAGCTGAAGTTAGGGTTATGTTTCACTCCATTTCATTATGTTTGTCTGTTAGCAGGGTATCTTAAAACATTAAGAATGGATGTGCATTAGACTTTGTGAAAAGGCTGGCACTGTGGCAAGGACAAACTGATTAACTTTTCATTTCCGTTGGCAAGAGATATAGCAGTGAAGGACACCATCTGAGTTCATTTGCCATCAGCTGACAGAACACACTTCCATGTTTGGCCCAATCACAAAACATTGAGGCACTGGAAAGCTTGTTTCCTGTTTAGATAACTGCCCTGCCAGTTTTATTTCAAAACTTGGTACAGTGAATTGAAATGAATACATTTTGAACTCATGAAACTTTGCAAAAGAAAACTAAAAAAAAACATATGGCAGTGTTTGTTCTTCATATAAGGGAAAGATCAGTGACACAATTGGCTATGGCTATTTGTCACACCCCTGGGCATACAAGGTACCCTTTAGTGTCTCTGTGAGTAGTAAGTAGTAGTAGTAAATTATGTGACATAAGTGACGTAAGTAGTTAGGTAACTTAAATGTTTGGTTAGATTTCGGTAAACTACTTGGTTAGGTAGTAGGAGATTACGTGACTTAAGGTAAATTAAAACTTTAACTAAGTTATCGCTGACTTGGTTTCACGCAGGACACAAAGTCCATCCAAATACAGCCAACACTTGAACTGATATTTCGTTTTTTGGTGGGCCTTATTTTAGGTGGCTAAAATACATTTTGCTGCTAACCCTGTCCTCAGCAGTACATTACTTAGCTTCCGGGCCAGTATAACTCTCTGCTTCTCCAAACTGGGAATGTGCCAACTCCCATCTACTGCACATACACTGATTATAGATAAATACCTCATACAGACCCTATTCAAAAAGCCCAAACTATCATTTTCATGTGGTAAGTGTAAGTTCAAGTTACTTCATCTAAATGATCTTGTCCCATTAAATTAATTTAAAGCCATGTTAATTCCAAGCGGGAACCTCCTGGTCTCAAATGTGAAGCCAATGCGGATGTGACCTAAACCTGCAATCTTTCTAACTGGTTGCCAAAAGAAGCCTGTTTTTCGCTAGCCAACATTAGCATCCTTAAAATCACAGTTAATGTGAATTACATATTCACCTTGCTAACCAAGCTAGCTAACACCACCGACTCATCCAAATATCGTCACGTCCAATGCCAATGCCAAACTCGAGGCTTCAAAACCAATGGATGACGTAACTGTGACTACGTCCACTTCTTTAATACAGTGTCACTGAGAAATGTAATTTCCTCATTTGTGCTGGATTTAGTGTCTTTCTTTATTTGATTTTTGTGTGACTGACTGTTTTTATTATTATGTTTTATAACTTTTTATTTCTATTTAAATTGTAATCGGTGTCCCTTCTTGGCTAGGTCTCCCTCGGAAAAGAGATTTCAATCTTAAAAGACTTCCTTTTTAAATAAAGGTTAAATAAGTTTTATTTAGTTGGTAATGGGGCATGGGAGAAACCCACTGTTGAACTGGCATATCTTGACAAGGTAGGTGGAAGTATTTGCTCTACTGTCATCTAGTCGAATTTGTTTTAAACTATTGTTCAGGAAAAAAAAGCCCTAAAGCATCACTGTCTTGTTCCTATGAGACCACACTTGATGGAAACTATGTGTAGAGGGAGTTATAGTTTCCAGTCAGTGTTTGCACCATGGAGGCGCTTATCACCACATGCTACAGCCTGAGTTTATTGAAGACTGGCCAGGAATCCAAACTAACACATACACACAAATACACACGCAGGCTTGAACGTGCACGCCACACGTCAACACAGATAAAAGACAGGAGAGATCAGCTAAGGGAAGATGGACTGGTGAGTAACACATCTACCAAAGCAGCAGGTCCTGACTGAAAGAACAAAACAAATAGACAACACAGCACAGCAAAATGTAGTTTGGTATCTGTGCCCAGGGGCATAGGACTAGGGGAAAAATAGTGAGTATACAGGGCCCTCATGTGAGGAGGGCCCACAAAAATACTAGATTGAATAGCCATGGACATGGGGAGGTGCCCATAGAGAACCTATGTACAGGGTCCGGATTTTTTGTGCTACACCCCTATCTGCTACATGTGTAAACTGTAAAAAAAAAATGAATTAAGAAGAGCAGCGTAAAAAGAAAAAATGTTCACAAGTTATGATGCAGTGTAATTAAAAAATCTTATGTTCAAATGTGACAGAGGCAGTTAAAAAATGGATAACGAGAAATAAAAATGAACACCAAACTTTCAACACCAAACACTCTGGTTTACTAATGGTGGTAATTTGTCAATGAAACTCTGTTTAAATAATTTCAGAGCATTTGAAATACCAGTAAACATAAACACTCAGTATGCTGATCATACATTTCTGATTCACTTATCTCGCAATCTGAAGATCTTGTCAGTCTCTTTCTACTAACTGCACCATCAAATTTTACTTCCTTTACCTCTAGTGGGCTAGTAGCATCAGACAAAATAATACATTGGCTCAGCTACATAGGCACCACTGAACTCTAAACAAAAGCTCAAAGCATTGCCCCTATCTATTATTGATGGACAGATTCACTTGCAGTCTGTTGTGCACTGAGTAGAGACAAAGCCGGGGACAGGATAAGAGTTAGTAGTGACGCTGCTGAGAATGTCACTGGCTGTTACCATCAAATACCCTGTTTGGAACATCAATCATACTTTATTTTTATGTCTCCAATGAAGTGCTTTATCACTCTAAAGCACGAGTGATAAAATACAAAAAGTAAATCAAACAAAAGCAATGCAATACAAAACAGAGGTTTAGATGAATTTACTGTTATAAAAATTTCTCTAATTTGGAGAACCAGTACAAGCCTTTATCAGGGCCTCAGCCAAAACTTTGGCTAGCATGCAGTTAATAACTCAGAGATAGAAGGTGGTAACACATGAGTGAACTTTAAGAATCTTAGCTCCTGTGATATGTAAAAGAGGGAAAGATAAAAGCAAGTATGACTTTATCCAGTTAAAAGTAGAATACAAACAGCTCAAGTCAAAAATGTTGAAAAGAATAACAATGCATGACTCTTAGCCTGTTTGTTAAATCATAAAAAATAGTCTATGAATGTAATTCCTCCAGCTTGATACTGGCTGACAGAATATCTGGTTCACTTAAATGGAGCTGAGTCTGAAAAACACTTTCTGATTAGGATTTTCTCTAAACTCTCCTGGTCGACTCATCTATAACCAGCATGTGGCATGGATCCATGCTGCTCTAGACCAAAATACTGCATTTACTGTTAGACTGTAGCACACTGCAGACAGAACCCCAGTTAGAGCATGGCATATACGTATTATTATACTTACTATAAATATATGTAAATTACATATTGCATAAAGCAATACATAAATAACATGTTCCTTTTCAGAGAAGTGGACTATTGTTTTCTTTTTACCAGGATAAAACAAACCTGAGTCCCTGTAAGCACACACACACACACAAACATATACATGTGCAAATACGCACACACAAGGTTACCTCTGATAAGGCTTCGACCTCGGCCAGTCTGACGTTTGAGCTCTGGGTCAGTGATAAGGCCAGGCCTGTTCTTAACTGCTTTTCTCCCGATCAAACAAGGTACCGAACTGACCCTAAATACCTGCTGGATGGTAGGACATCCTAACAACATGCTCTTACAGCAAAAATCTGGTTGTATTGTAGAATTGAGAAAGTTTTGTCTAAATAACTACTAGTTTTGTCTAAACCCTACTTATACTTAAGAGAAATGTGCTTTTTAAAAAATATATAGAAGTTTTCTAAAGGTATGATTTTTAAGTTTGGGTGAACAACTTCCTGTCATCTTGAAGGTACAATCACATTACATTTCTGTCCTGCGAATGTTGGCTGCCTCTCCTGTTCACATCAACTGAAGTACACATAACGGAAAAATTCGAGGATGCGCTTCTGTATTCTGTGCAATCTCCAGGCTGGCTCCAGTGGACTTGAAGTTTGAAGATCACTTTTGTTCTACTTTGGTCAACTGTCAAAGTGTGAAGTCATTATTCTAGCATGTACCATCACTTTGTTCTATAATATCAGACAGCAAACTGCAGCATCGCTCTCACACACTGTTAACCTTTTTAGGGGCAGAGTGGGGAAAGTTTAACGGTATGCTAATGTGACCATGGTGAAACCAGAAATTTCAAATCTGAACAAACAGGGCTGGTGTCTAGATGGAGCAGAGTGTGACAGACTGAAAGGGCAACTTCAACACACTTGTTTCATCCTTAACATCTTAATGAAACACCAGTTTTTAAAATTATTACAACACACTCAAAGAACGAAAATGATCTACAGACTTGTAAAAAAAAAACATTCTGATTTTGTGTGTTAAGAAATTATTTTGTGCTGTCAGAGCTGTCAGCATGTGAAGCCATTACAGGAAGGCTAAGGCCCCTCATCTTGGTGGTTTGCACCTGATGTCCAGTCAAATGTAAATATTTGAAATGTTAATGCCTAAGCAATTATTGTGTATTGTGTAGTTATTCTTGTTAATGTTCTAATGTGTTGGGTTGTCTTGTGTTGGCTCATGCTCCCTTTGAGTCACGGAGACTCTAACCTGCACCGACAGGCTGCGTTTCCCTTACGTCCCCTCCGACACTGCAGGGTCACAGGGTGGCAGCGCCAGACAGGGCTGGTACCTTCTACACAGCACACACAAACTGCCAAATTTAGCTGCCTGCTATCAGTGCCAGCAAGTGGGGACAGACAGAACACGTGGGTGAGCTGGAAGATCACATCCCAAATTCCTAAACTTCCGCCTTAACACTCCAATTAGGATCAGTTTCCTGGAAAAACAGAACTGTGTTAATTTAATTAAATTTGTTTTTGTTTGTTTTTTAAAGACAGATGTTCATGCAAACTGACAAAACTGTCATCACTTTAATGTGGTGGACATCTTCATTATATTGGAGCTTAAGCAGATAAAATCCACTCCACACTACATTACTCTGAGTTTTATGTTCTTTACAAGCTATATTATTTTTATTTTATTTTCATAAAACTGGGTAGTATCACATACCTGTCATACTGTCAGGAAGGAAAACAATCCTTGTCTGCTTGGATTGGTTTAAAGGTTCTGTTGTTTCAGACTCACTGAATGCAAACAAGAAACACCACTGTGTTCCTGCACTCAAACTGATCTGGAAAATTAAATGCTCAATGGTGCTGAGGAAATAGTTTCCCAGATGAAATATCTGTGTAATATTCCTTTGGTACTCCTTGGAGGACGTTTTTTGTCTGAGATTCTCTTGTCTGTGATGTATTATATGGTATTTTTTAATCTGCTATGTCTAGACTAAAATGTCCTTTTAATGATCCTGAAGGGACCTCCAGTTGTGCTGTGATATCTGTGCAGCATCTTTCTAAAATTCGCAGGATTAACAATTCTTTGTAGAGAGGGCTTCCAAGGCTTTACATGCGCAATTAGCTCCCTGTTTAATTAGGATCTTAGAGTTGCAATTATACCCTTGAATACCCCGTGGATCTGGATGATTATGAAAATAAAAACACTCACACTGTGAAGTGATAGACGAAGCATTTCCAGCCAGACGGCCTTTCCAGAAAGTTATACACGCGTCCTTGGATGTAGGCGCGGGTGAGGACTGGACGGACCCCGGTACTATACACCGACATCCGCACAGACATCCGGGGATGAGATAAGTACGGGTGGAGGTGAACAGGGGGTACCTCGTTGGGAGTGTTACTATCCTCTGGCATTTTGTCTCTTTCAGAAAACGTATCGTTGGCCACAGGTGTCCCAGGTTCAGGCGCGCAAAAATTGGTTCCCGACAGCTCCAAATCCGGTGGTCTATTTCCACGTGCCACACCAGAAAACCTCCGTGTGTTCCCCTGAGAAGGAGCGGAATAAGACATTCTACCTTCCCGTTATTCTTCTGTCGTGGGGTTAAGTTTTTCACAGTTATTTTTCGGTCACTGACTCAAATGGACAAATGTTCGCCCTTGTGCGCTTACCTTCTGCTGTGCGCCTTATCGCGCCAGGGCGGATAAAACTGTAACATAAACTGAATTATTAATGCTTTAGATCACCAGGATGGTGTATCTTTTATTTAACTTTATAGCTCTCTGGGTTGTTGAGGATATGGCGAGTCTGAGCCCTGAATGAATATCCCCTACCTCTTTCAGAGCACTTATCAGCCTGGAGAGCTCTGGGCGCCAGGAGGTGCGCTGTGCGCTGTGAATCGCCAGCAGATACTGGTTTGCAAAACAGCTTGAAAGCAATCTACAGCTGATGGACTCCATCTTCAGATCTGTGTGTAAAAACACCATTAACGTTTTTTCAGATAATTACTTGTTTTGTTTTTTTCCCCCACAAAATATGTTTGCAAACCTGTAATCACACATTTCAAGCAGTTGACAGTGTATGGGCATATCTTAATGAAAGTATTGTCAGAAAATAATTGGATTGGATTTGATGTTAGTGACATTATGTCACTCTCATAGGCATTTGTGCATGTGTGAAAGTTTAGATGCACAATACTAAATGAGTAGCAAACAAAGCACCTATATACATCAAGGTCACCAGTGTCTTGTGCCATTACTGTAAACAGCTCTTGCATCATACTGGGGTAATCATACACTTAAACCAAGTAAAGACACAGCTCTAACCCAGAAGTGTAAATAAAGGGGTAACCCACTACCAAAATTCAAATACATGATTAGAACATTCTATGCTTAATTGATCAACCAGTCTTTTAATATCAACAGAAGAATACAACAAAAATGTTATTTATTACTGTTTTATGATGCTCATAAAAGGTCTGTGTACAAGAACAAGGCAGGAAAAGATTTCTGTAACTTCAATTATGAGCAATTGAGAAAAAGATAAAATGTTGATTTCTTTTATTTGTAAGTCAAGCTTTATGTATGTATGTGAATAGCCTCCATATGGTCAAAATGACAAATGTTCTCTTTAATTTATAAATATATTTGAGTTGTTTTGTACATTGAGGATAACTTTTGAGCAGACTTTTTTTTTTTTCAGATTGCAATGTATACACAGTGAGAGCATAACCACCATGGTATAAAGTCACCCCGTTTCATTTGTTGTTGCTGCTGTTTTCAATTACTTTGATCAATGAGTTAGACATGACCTCAGAAATTTGAGTATTAAAGACCTTGAGCTGCATGCACACATATCCCCTGTTTATACTGAAATAACTGTGGAATTAGCGACGCATATGTAACATATCTTCTTGTTTATTTAAGATGAATCTCTAAAGAAAAGGTGGTGATTGGCTCACTTCATTTGTGCAGTGCATAGAATGGCCTATGAGATGACACAGACTGTGAGTCATTTTAGTCATTGAACTGTCATTTGGAAGTAAATGAAGTACCAGTGATTGCATGGAAGTTCCTGACATGATTGGGAGCTACATCTAGTTCCCCTCTACATACCTGTCACTGGACTGGTATAGGAAACGTTAAATGTGTTATCTTGGTAAGCATTAACAAACAACCTATTTTGTCGTTTAGGAATGAGGACATGTTGCAGCCGACTCAGTAAGGATGATATTACATGAGAAAAATTGATCTACAGGAGACTACATGTTTGAAAGCAATACATATTGCCTGAGAGCCTTACTGCATTATATTATTATATTTCTATATTTCTGCCAAGGACAAGAGACAAGAGGAACCAAACAAGAAGTAGACATAAAACAACACGCCAGAAACCTTGAAGGAGAGTGACCACAGTTCCCACAAGAAGAGATCTCTGACCATGGGAGACATCAGAGCCAAGAGGAAGAGTCTATAACCCACTCACTAACAACCACCTGTGAGGATTCACCATCTTCAGCCCCCCAATCCCCATCCAGGTCACCCTTATCTCCAGACACCCTTTCCCTCCTCCCCACGTTGGAGTTCACTGACCATATGAAAGAGCTGGTTAGTCCTGGGATCGAACTTACTCCCCGCCACTTCCCTCGCCCTACTCCCATTTTCTCTACCCTAAACCCCACTAACAGTCCACTTCCACCACCGGCTTTAAGTCAGAATCAGGTAATAGAAAAAGAAGGATGAATGTGTTAGGAAACAGGAATCACTCAACATATGCTGCAAATTTAGTGTCAATTCCTCGTCAGCCACAGCCTGTCGCAAAAAGTGGCGCAGACAACAAACTAAATTGAGCTTTATTAAACGTCAGGTCTTTGGCTCGAAAAACATTTTTAATCAATGATTTTATAATCACTCACAATCTTAATTTCATGTTTTTAACTGAAACTTGGTTGGACCAAGATAACAGTGCAGCTGTCCTTATTGAGTCTACCCCTCCCAATTTCAGTTTTATGAGTGAAGCTAGCTTGCATAAGAGAGGAGGTGGAGTTGCCATTTTGTTTAATGACTCCCTCCAATGCAAAATATGTTTTATGGAAATTTAGCTTCTTTTGAATATGTGGCTCTTCAGTTGAATTCCTCTTCTCAAGCTATTTTTCTAAATATCTACAGATGTCAGCTGGGATTGGCTCCAGCCCCCCGCAACCCTGTACGCAGGATAACTGGTTGACGATGGATGGATGGATGGATGGATGGATGGATCTACAGGCCCTCTAAATTCTATGCAACCTTTTTTGATGACTTTAGTGAACTGCTGTCGATAATCTGTATTGACTTTGACTGTGCTTGTTGGTGATTTTAACATCCATGTTGACAACACCCAGGAAAGAGGGACTAAAGAACTGTGATGTGTTCTTGATAATTATAGACTGATTCAGCATGTGACAGAGCCCACACACAATAAGCGGCAGATGTTGGACTTAGTCATCTCCAAAGGTTTGAACATTTTCAAGGTTGTGGTGACTGATGTTGCTCTCTCTGATCATTCCTGTCACTGAAAACACCAGTGAAATATTTATTCAGGCTTTCTCTTCCACACCCGCCCTCTCATGGGTCTCAGTCAGTGAGCTTGTAGATAATTTCTACAATTACAAATGCCATTGCACCAGCCAAGGTGAAGGTGGTCTCTGATAAGAAAAGATCTCCAAAATAGAGAGACTTGGCATTTATAATTTAGAACTGAGAAATGCAAGGCGGTCCTTCTTCTCTGACATCATCACCAAACACACTAATAATGCACGTGCCCTGTTTGCTACTGTCAACAGGCTAACCAACCCTCCTGTGTCTGTAGCCTCTGACCTTCTATCCACCAGGGCCTCCTTCTTCAAAGACAAAATTCAAACAATTAGACAATTCATATAGCATGACACAATTCGATTCTATCAACCATAATAACCTGGAGGACATAATACAACATCTGAAATCCTCCTCATGCTGCCTTGATATTCTGACAACAGGTTATTTCAAAAATGTTTCTAACTGCATGGCCTCGGATCTACTACAAATTGTCAACATGTCTCTCCTCTCAAGTTTCTTCCCACAGGCCCTGAAAACTGCAGTCTTTAAGTCACTCTTAAAAAATAGCAATTTAGACACGTCACTAATGAGCAGTTACAGGCCCATATCAAATCTGCGGTTTTTAAGTAAAATCATTTTAAAAAGCTGTTTTTCAGCAGCTTAGTGCTTTCTTGGCACTAAATAACTGTTTTGATGTCTTCCAGTCAGGATTTAGACCACACCACAGCACTGAGATGGCTCTTGTTAAGGTCTTGGTTTGATTGGAGCTCAGTGCTGCTTTTGACATGGTCAACCACAACATATTACTCGATAGACCTGAAAACTGGGTGGGACTATGATCCCATACAAGCACTGAGTAACTGTATTGAACAAATTGTCAGTGCTCAGTTTCAATCGGCAATGTTAAGAACCACAAACCAAGCCAGAAATCTTGGTGTAGTCATAGACTCAAATCTGAATTTAAGCAGCCACTTTAAGACAATTACAAAGTCAGCCTACTATCACCTGAAGAATATTTCAAGGATTAAAGGACTCAGCAGCTCTGGAAAAACTTATACATGCATTTATCTTCAGTTTTCTTGACTACTCCATCAGCGTCTTTACAGGGCTCTCTAAAAAATCGATCAGACAGCTGCAGCTAATTCAGAACGTTGCTGCTCGAGTCCTCACTAAGACCAAAAAAGTGGATCACATCACTTCAGTTCTGAGGTCTTTACACTTGCTTCCTGTCTGTCAGTCAATTGATTTCAAAGTACTGCTGTTGGTTTATAAAGCACTAAATGGTTTACGGCCAAAATACATTTCTGATCTTCTGCTTCGTTATGAACTATCCAGACCTCTCAGGGCGCCTGGCACAGGTCTGCTTTCTGTCCCCAGAGTCAAAACTAAACATGGAGAAGCAGCATTCTGTTTTTATGCTCCATCTATCTGGAACAAACTCACAGAAAACTGCAGGTCTGCTGAAACTCTCTGTTCTTTTAAATCAAGACTGAACACTTTTCTTTTTACCACTGCCTTTAATTAAAGCTGTAGATTGATAACTTTCACTGAACGGGAACTTTAACTGTATATTTCCCTGTTGCTTTGATTTTCTAGTTAACTCTTTTAAAACTTTTTTATATTTCCCTGTTGCTTTATGTTTTATGTAAAGCACTTTAAATTACCTTGTTGTTGAACTGTGCTATACAAATAAACTTGCCTCGCCTTGCCTATATTTTCAATTGTCTCCCGCTGCTTGCTTCCACATTGGTAAAGAAAAATTCATCAGAATGCAAGAAATGAAGTGTTTCAAGCTCAAAATTTTATGGGTGAGGACCCCCAGACCTGACTTAATACATGTCCTCTCCAATGTTGAAACAAAACCCACGGCCTTGGCTAGAGGAATATATAATAATATGTTACAGCTTAAAATTTCCAGAAAATTGTGTCCTTTCCCTGACTTATGTGTGCTTTATTACATTTTGAAAGTAATGTCATCAAGCTTAGTGTGCAATCCAAGGAAACTCTGTGGACACATGCAGCTTAGTTTGACAAGGTTACCCTGTGGATTTTTTTTTGCAATGACCTTGGCCAAGGAGGAGGAAACAAGTTCACTGCAGTGGATTTTAATAGGAGTCGAGTGGCATCTATGTGATGACAGGATCTGTTACCAGGTAGTTATTAAACACCGCTCTAACTGGTTCTTGCTGTTAGATGCCTACCACTACATTTGAGGTTTTGTTATTAATGCAGAAAGGGCAGTTATCTTGAAGGTCACCTATGCTCCCACATTTGATTAGGCTATGTGAAGGAAATATAATACTTTACTTCTCGGAACATATCCAATTTAAAAACATATGTGTTGATGTTCAGAGATGAAATGATTAGTGGAATAAGTGATTCTGGAGAAATCCAATTTCATGACACCATGATATAGAGTGAAAAATGACACAGCAAGTAATGTAACTTGCGGGTTCCAAACTTAAGTCATTCTTTTGAGAAAAAGTTTTAAATGTTCACTGGTACAAGCTTTTTAAATGTAAATGTGTTGGTTTTCTAAATCTTGTATAATGGTAAACTAAATACCTTTGGGTTTTGGACTGTTTGGTAGGCAAAACAAGCAATTAAATAATCCACATTTAGTAGGCATATTGAAGTTGCTCAAAAGAAGAAAACTACTCTGGCAAGATTTCTCAAATGTTGATCAAACCAGCC